TTTATAAATAAAATTAATTTTATAACTTTATAATTTTATAATAATTTATCTTATGGTAGGTCTAGGTACTGGCCTTGCCATGGCTTCCTCCTTCGTCGCATTAAATACGTTTTTCGACAAAAAACGTGGACAAGCAGTAGGCTTTTCCATGGCAGGGAACGCATTGGCAATGATGTTCATACCGTTGGTAAGTGATGTACATAGATACTTAGGAAAAGAAAAAATGTTTAAATTAACAATTTATTTGTACAGTTAGTACATACGCTGCTGAACATATACGGATTTCGCGGCACAATACTTATCGCTGGGGGATGGGCATTACATTCTTTAGTGGGATCATGTTTGTTACGTCCACTTGAAAAACAATCGCCAACACTACCAGTCGAGGTAATTATTTTAATCTATAAAATATTGAATTATTAAGTAGTTCCAAATTTTTCACATCCCGAATTTTTATATTAAGTTATTAAGAAAAGAGTATGTGTATTTATAACTTATTTATATAATAATATTATTGAAATCTAATAAGACATATATATTTCTTCTTAGAAAAAGTCTAATGAAGAACGAGAGAACGAAGCGTTATTAATGAAACAAACTTCTACTAAAGCACAAAGGATGTCAAATGGATCAATGTGGACCAAAGATCAAATCTCAGATATTGAAACACTCTCACCTCAAAAGAAATCGTTTATGAAGAAACTACAAATATGTTTTGACTTGGATCTTCTCAAAAATTCGATTTATTTAAATGTAGCTCTAGGTTGCAGCTTTTTTTACGTGGCTGAGTCAAACTTTAAATTAATGACTCCTTTCTTTCTCTCGGATCTTGGTGAGAGTTGTAAATGTATAATTTAAATGTAATCAGTACCGTAGCAAAGGATGTATATTACCTTGTTAAAAGAGCTCCCCTGTTTGTGTTTTAAACATGGAAATATTGAAAGTTATTATTCGCGTTGCATATAAACAAATCTGTTTAGAGCAATATTATAGGGACCTCGAAAGACACCGATCTCAGCAAACATCCTCGCTACGGTACTGCTCGTGAGTTACATAAACTACTCGTAGGAACTTGACGAATGACAGGATTGAAACAAGCGGAGGTAGCCTTTTGTCTGTCCCTGACTGCATTCACCGATATCCTCGCTAGACTACTGTTGCCAACATTATTCGATAAATTCGGTTGGAAAAAACGCATAATTTTCTGGATCTCCAGCTTCCTCGTTGGAATCACACGCTCCAGTAATTCTGTCATTAAGATTAAAAGTGCTATTATTATTAAATTTCATTACTGCAATAAGCATTTATATTTTATTTAATTATATTCACTTAAAATTATATTTAATTATCAAAGTAATTTTTTTTATTAAAAGAAATGTGATATTTATTTATAATTAAAACAGTTGGTCAATAATAAAAGCTTTAATACAGAATACAATTTTACAAAAACTTATGAACTTATGAAGTAGAAAAATGTAATATTTGTTTTTTTTATACAGTATTAGCGGAACAATCAGAAAAAACACCGTTGATTGTCACATTAATAATAGCTGGATTTTTACGTGGCGCTACATTGGTGAATTTAAATCTCTGCATATCCGAATGTTGTACTTTGAAGAAGCTACCAAGTGTATTTGGAATGTTTATGGTGTTTAAAGGCTTATGTGTAATCACTATGAGTCCTTTAATTGGTACGTTTTTATATAATAATATACGAGATAATAATGTTTCTATGTATTAAAATAATAGCGCGTAGATTAATTCTTTATTTTTTGTTAAAAAAGGATATATCAGAGATATCAGCGGTAGCTACAAAATCTGTCTTCACGTGATGACTGCCATGATACTCGTCACATCTGTCGTGTGGAGTATTGAATTTTTATATCGTGTCTTTTGTAAACAACTTGCTATTGTTAAGAAATTACAACAGAATGCAGCAGAATAACATTTTAAATTTAATATAGTCTTATAAAATTATCTAATGTATTTTTATCAATTATGTCAAATTCTTTCAATTTAGTACGGCATAAAAACTGATTAAATAAATCATTCTTTTTCAAAGTACTTTTCAAAGTAACTTTTTCTTAGATTAATAATTTATTTTTATAACACAATTAGTTTTCTATTAAAAAAAAAATAATTTTGTTGCATTAAAGTGGATCAAAGTACTTGAAAAATGCTCAATGACTTCATATTATATAATTTGTAATCTTTCCGATGAACTATATCTTATCTACTGTAGATGCTATGCTATGTGTATTTCTACAACAGACTCATTTTTCTTCTGTTTATCCGCAAAATTTCATGTCAAATCAGTTATTATTCTTTACATAAATAAAAAGATCTAATCATCATATTCTTATATAAAGTTGTCCGAAAAAAAATTATCAATTTGAATACGTTTGATAAATATTCCATTAATAATCAATATTTATTTTCATATCTGTTTATGTTCTATTTTGAAAAAATTGCATTTTTATATATCAAATTACAGTAAAATATTTCAATGAAACGAGAATTGTGACTGACTGATAACACAAATATGATATAGCGTAAGCAGTGTGATAAACAAGTTTGTCATTTAAACAAGTGTGTCATTTACGCTACATAATGAGACACATTTTATTATTATATTGGGTTGTCCGGAAAGTTCGTGCCGACTAAAATTTAAATGTTAGTATACATTTATTAAATTAAAATTTTCTATGTTTCAATTTTCCTTCAACATCGGCACGAACTTTCTGGACAATCCAATATATATAATTTGCATTGAGTTCACAAAAAAATGACTATAAATAATAAGTATCCTCAACTGCTCGCATGCGTTCAAGCGAGTCAAAATATTACGAACGATCATGCTCGATCTCGAATAGAGTAGTGGAGCCGGTTTTCATCGCGCTTCTTTCTCTTCGGCCAGTCTCGGATCGTCCTCAGTTCGTGCCGGAACATATCTTTCTTGATTTTATGCGCCGAATATTCATATCAAAACATGTTCAAAAATCTTGTTTAATATTTATATAAATTTTTAAAATTGACGTGCGCGTGAGTGTTAACGTGATAATACATTGCGCTATTGAAAAATTTTCCAGTTGTACTTAAGAATGCACTCCGATATAATTGCTTGCTAAGGCAGAGGCTTAACGACTTGATTAAATGTTTTTGCTTGATTATAAAGTAAGCAATTCGCACGAGAAGAAAGGAGAACGACTGATTATGAGTTATTAAGATAGATAAAGAAGCCAAGACGCTATAATAAAGAACAAACAGAATAACAAGTTAAACATATTGCTTCAGTACTACTTCTGTACCGTTTAAATAACTAGTTGATTAAGCAAATGTGTTTTCATTTGCACTTTTTTTTAATTTACTAAAAAATTTTTAAGAGACATAAATAATTCGAAACAATGTTAATTTTGTTGTCAACTTACAAATAAAGTAAATTTGTAAAAATTAAACAAAAATATTAAGCAAAAAAATTTTATCGATAAAATTTTATTAAAGCTAAAAAATTATTTATTATAATTTAAACAACTTTTCAAAGTCGTTATTCTATTTTTTGTTATAGATGTAATAGAGGTCGATGTAATAGAGTCAATTGAGTTGAATTACGACGAGTAATTGCGAGCTTGTTCTTGCTATTAAATATCACTGTTTTATTAATTAATTGAAGAAATATTTAATAGATCACACGGTTGTGATAAAAGGCATAAACATATGAATATGTAATAAAAAATTATTTTTAATAAGAAAAGATAATTTATGTGTATACATAAATTATCTTATATTATAATTATAATTTATACGTGTACATAAATTATATGCATATACATAGCAACTGAATCGAAATGAGAGGGGCTTTATCCGCAGCGCATATCTTATCACCTGTCCAATTAAATTTGTGATTGTATGTTCGTTGTCTAGCAGTTAGGTTTGCAGTTTGTCGATGATATGAACACGGGTTGCAATTGAAAATCTCTAGGAATTTACGCTCTCATGATAAACTTACAGAATAGTGACTGATACGATTAATAGAATGGCAAGTGATATGACAGATCAGGGCTGGGCATGGGTGATTGTCGTTGGCGTGACCATTATCAATGTAAGTTTTTTTTAATAATGAAATGAGACTATTTGCTATATAAAAAACTTTATTCTATATTTTATTCTCCAATTTTAATTTTAATCTCAAAATTAGTTTTAATAATTTGAAGCTTCTTCGAATAATAAATAAACATTTATGAACAAAATCATTCAAAAATTTATATATACAAGGTATTTCCTCTAACTCTCTCTTGATCATTTAATTTTTGATTATACGAGAAAATATCACAGGGGATTTTGTTCAATTCGAAGGAGCACATATTATGATGAACAACAATTTTTCTCAAAATCATTTTTTTTTTTAGATTTTAAAGTCACCTCCAATTTTTTAAATGGAATTGTATGATTTTTTTTAACAATATGATTCCTCTAATTATTCTGCGAGTTATATTTTATGTCAATATATATCAAATAAAGTATAAATATCTTGTAAACAATTGGTTTTTTTATATCACTGCCTGTGATATAAAAATACTTTTATATTTATGTAGAATAATTAAAAAAAAAACCATATTGTGTAAAAAATCATACAATTCCGTTTAAAAAAGTGGAGGTGATCTTGACGTCTAAAAAAATATGAGAAAAATTTTTTGCTCATCATTGATCGATGTCAATAGAATATCGTTCGAATAAGATCCTCTGGTATTTTCTCGTATCATCAAAAAACAATGGAGACATTTTATATGATATGTTACAGAAAACATTGTATATATCCTGTCGATTTGTAATATTTTTAATAATAAATTTGATAATATTTTACTTTTTATAAGACATAAAAGTCCTGTGCAAATAATAATATAAATTTAGATATTTTGTCATTCTTATAAAATTTATATTTTTATTTTCTCAAAAGATTATAATTTTTTTATCCAAAAATTTCCTAATCGATAATATTCTAGAAGATGCGATATTACGAAATTTGAACGATATAGTTTCACGAGAATAATTTCCTTTGTTAGCTAGCCGTACTTCCAGTCCAGCAATGTTTCGGCCTTATCTTCGCAGAACGTTTCGCAAGTCTCGGCATTACTGCGACGCAAACAAGTCTAATTCTTCATCTTAATGGAACAATAACATGCAGTCTCGGTCTTATAAGCGGTCCAATGATGAAGAAATTCGCTTTTCGCCAGGTCGCATATTTCGGCAGTCTGACAGTCGTTCTCGGAATCTGCGCCGCTGCCTTCGCCGTGTCTCTCCCAACTCTTATTATCACTTATTGCGTTATCATTGGTAAATAATTCACACTATAAAATATCAAGGCGTGAATGAGAGCTATAATATGACAAGTCATTTAATCGTTTATATTGAGCGCCACTGTATTCTATCGAGCAAAATGGACTTGCGCAGAATAAGGCAATAATATACGTAAACAAAGTAAAGGAATCTTTAAAGCATAATTGTTGCAACATATTTTTTGTTCAGTATTTAGTTACGCTTAATGTTACAGCTTTTAGTACTTTAGTAATTTCACTTATCAGAACAGGTAGTAACGTAATTGAATTATTGTTGATCTCTAAAATCGCTTTATAATTAAAAGGATTTGAATTCTTATATATTAATTACACAATTATTGTTTTCAAAAGTTGACAGTGTTAATTATAAAACGCATATATAACAGGAATCGGCCAAGGAATTCTTTTTCCAGCGACAACATTAGCTCTGAACACATATTTCCGCAAGAAACGCAATGTAGCCATGGGTTTTTCAATTACTTTAACTGGTCTGGGTCCAATTTTAATGCCCCTTTTAATAGACGTACTTCTTGAAAATTTTGCCACGACCGGCACTCTCCTGATCCTTGCTGGAATCGCTTCACATTCTCTTATGGGTGCATCGTTATTAAAACCGTTTAGAAAGCAGACAGAGGTGAGTTAAAGGTACGTGAGCAATGGCATAATTTTACACCATTTTTATTCATTTTTCATTTTTTTTCATATTTCGGTCTATTATCATATCAACAATATGCGAAATGTAAATTATATTTAGATGACTTTCTTTCACTTTTCATTTTTAGCAAAGTGTTCTGATGGACAAAATTGTTAATATATCGAAAGAGGAAAATTCATGTGTTGATAAGACAAATGTGGAAAATGCTATTCAATGCCGATTATTAAATAAACGGAATGCTGAAGAGGAAAGACAATCGAACTATTATTTTGAGAACAGCGAAACAGAAGTGAAAAGAAATAAACAAACTTCGTTTCTTAAAAAAATTGTTGCAAATATGGACCTCGATCTTCTTCGTGATAATCATTATATAGCGATAGTATTAGGTATAATACGAACACAATTGATTTTTCACAAGTTTTGTCGAAATGAAAATCTTGAGAGATGTATGTAATGCTTCAAAAACAGGTATGAGCGTTTCATTGGTGGCCGAAACGAATTTCAATGCAACGATACCTTTCGTCCTAGCCGAATTGGCGAATCTCGACAGAACGTCGATAGCTACAATAATGTCGATTCAAGCTGCCGCAGATATTATGGGACGCCTTTGTATACCGTTGTTGGCACAAAAAACAGGCTGGACCTGCAGGAATCTTTATGTGCTATCTCTGCTGGGATCAATCTTTGGAAGGACTAGTACGTACTGCCACGTAAAATATACGAACCCGAGGAATCTCTTCACGAGGTGATCTTTGGGGTGGGTTGATTAGATGCATGATTAAGTGCACATCGTATGATAATCGATAATAATTATCAAATCACGATTGAATTCACAATGTTATATTGTAACATATATCTAAATATTATATTTTAGTATATTATAATATATTTTAATATTATTTAGTTATTTGATTAATATTATATTATATCTATCTGGATTCATTTATATGCACTCTTATTGATCTTTACATTTTCTATGTTTTATGTAAACTTCTGTATAAAATCATTTCTCATAATAGTTTCTTGACAGTTCTATCGACATGGGGTGATACTTACATCATTGTAATCGGAGTAGCCCTGATCATCGGATTGGCGAAGGGAACCAAAGCTGTCTTCCAAGCTCTAATCATTCCTGATTACGTACCATTGGAGAGGTTACCGGCTGCATCCGGTATTCAGATGGTTTGTAATGGCATCCTGTCTATCAGCATGGGACCAATTATCGGTAAAGAAAAATTTTAAATATACAATAAAAGCAGCCTACAATTTTTTTTAATGTTAATATAATTATAATTAAAATATTTTACAGGGCAACATTATTATTATTTATCTTATTTCATTATTATTATTATTATATATCTTATCTATTTTTAATAAAATTAAATATTTTTTTTCAGGTTTAGTGCATGATTCAACAAATAATTATGTGAGTGCGCTTTATTTCACGTCCTTTCTCAGCCTGTCTTGTGTTTTCTTGTGGTTAATAGGTGGATTATGGACTTTTCGTAGAAATAAGTTGAATGAGCAAAATCCATCAGAGGAACAATAAAATTTTCACAAAAATACGTAATTGATTAATTTAACAACAGTTTAATATTTCAATTTATGAATATACATATATATGTGTGTGTGTGTGTGTATATATGCATATATATA